TGGTTGGACCAATCAGAAGAATTCGTACGGGCAAACGCAGTAAAGGACGACTCCCACTAGATGGAGTGAGGACCTCAAATGCAATGCAGAGAGTCAGTAGATGCAGTTGCCTTAGGATCGTTCCTTGTAACAGTCTATGGAGAAGGCTTATGTTCAGCAGTGGACAGATAATGGCTGAGATGATAACGAACCAGAAAAGCTCGTTTCCTGATTTAGCTAGGGTCAAAGTTTTCTGGGTGTGCCCCTTTTAGTTTGTTGCTTGGTGTCTGGTAACAGACGGTATTTTAGCTGAAAGAAGCAAGAAATTAGTATGTTTGTGTGCACTTATTATTATATTCAATTAAATAAATAACTTTACAAAAATCGTATTTATAATATAAGTGGGATTCGAACGCGTTTGATCACAGTCTAGTCTAATGTTAACTGATAACGTGGTAGAACGTAGACTCAAATAATGTCTACCTATTCACTCTAGATTCACTCAAATATAAATTCTACGCACATAAAGATGACATATTATAAGAGACTGGAAATACGAATGCAAGGAGAAAATTCCATTCCTTGACTGTTACAATAAGAAACAAAGAAGCAAAGCGCTTTTCCTGCATAAATGGAATTTTCACCAGCTTAAAATTAAACTGTTTTAATTTTGCTCTGCAAAAAATAACGAATTTAATCAGGACTAAATACATTGAACATAAGCAGCGTCCCTCTTAAGCATCTCTAAAGCCTGACTACGGTTGCCATTCTGCTTGTCAAGCGTGGCAACAGCTGGCACCCCCCCTCCCTAAGCTTGAGACTTATGTTTAATGCTCAGCAGTGGACGGTTAAAGGTTGATATGATGAAGATGATGATGATGTTGATTGTTTCTTCAGGGTCTGCAACGCGCACGTGACACCCCTAGTGTCCCTACCTACCCCCAGTGTGTCATCATTTACTCCATGTTTAATCATGAATTATGTGTGGTCAACAAAAATAAAATAAAAATTTAAAAAAGAATTGAATACCATACAAAATGTTATATTAATTTCTGAGCATTATTATTGACAATGTTGCTGTAGTTTTCAATAAATAGTATTTGTTTGTTTAATTTTGTTTAATATAATATTGTCTAATTTTGTGTTTCGTTTACTTGTATTTTATTTTGTGCAAATTCTAGTGGCTACCAAATTACTATTTAAGTATATAATTATGTATCATTTTAGCTGTTTGTTTGCCTTAAATAAATAAATAAAATATCAACAATAATAATATTATAAATTAACAACACACGGTAATAATAAGTTAACCGAGGTTTTCCCTACACGAGTTTTCCCTATACGAGACTACAGTATGGGGTTCTTCAAAAAGATTATATTAAAGTTTTTTTTTTTTACAACACAGGGGCAAACGAGCGTGCGGCTTACCTGATGGTAAGTGACTACCGCCGCCCATGGTCACCCACAACACCTACGGCATTGCAGGTGTGCATTCTTCAAGGTCGGCAACGCGCACGAGACACCTCTAGTGTTGTAGGTGTCCATAAGCTACAATAACCGTTTACCATCAAACAGGCTGTATGCTTGTTTGCCTTTGTGGTATAAAAATCTATCTGAAATGCTAAGTTACTTTTATCAGAGGAAGATTGTACAAAAGTTACCTGCGTAGGTTACATTCTGTTACATTCGTGTTTCTACCGCTAATTAGTTGTATTTGGATGATTTCATTTTGGCGGATGAATATGACAGTGAAATTACAAACAACACAAGCACGGTTCATGCGTATCTCCACGATGTGGGATTCTTGATAGCTAGCTGGTAATCTATTTTAATACGAGTAAAAATCATGTGTCATTTACCCAACAGAAAATTAATTTGATTTAAATTAGAACCGTCAAAATCGATTTAGAACTTCTATAGTTCTGATATTATAGTAGATTAGGAAGTTGAAATAAAAACCAGATATTTTTTAAATGGTTAAAAAAAAGGTTTCCATTTTTTTACCTTCATACAAATGAAGTTAAAAAAGAAGTAAAGGTTGATAAATGTATAAAAATAATAGTTCCCTTTGTGTGAACTTGCAAATTCTTTTGGTACGCTAGTGACATTTATTGCATTCCAGATCCTAAATTACTCTATTCAACTTAATTTACGCCTCCGCATTGAATGTGAATAGACTATCTCTTACATTTATATTGCACTGAACGTACCAGCTGTTTAGTCATGATACCCTAGTACTTAAGAATGGTGATACTTGGTACCATAGCACTCGATGCTTCGAGAAAAGCAGGCTATCTTTTTTGAACAATTATACGTGATAAATAGTTTTGTGTGTTTCTATATTTATTTTGTTTTATAATTTTTGCATTTTTTTCATACATAAACACTCATTTTACTTATTAAATAATTAAATATAGATATGTCGAGATACATTATGTGCGTAAGTATATACATACAAAAAATACTTGAAAAATGTTAACCCGTTTTTGAGACTCGATGCTCTATTTATATAATCTAAGTATATACTATAAATATCGTATTTTTTTTTATAATTAAGTTTTATAGAAAAATAAATTATATTAAAAAAGCAAGATTAATGCTATCAGCATCTTCTACCAGCGACACTGTAAAATACTCGTATTATGTTCTAAGCTATAGCAACTTATTTCATTTAAGACATTCTACGAAAAATTATACGGATCGTGTAATCACTCAAGCAATGTTTGTGAACGTCTCGGGTAGCAAAAACGTGCACTTTGTTTGTCCAGCACTCAACGACCCTTGCATTCGACCCCTGTTTGTATGGGATGAAATTTTTAACACAAAATGTAATATATTTTCTTCTTTCTTTGCGCAAACATTAGTGAGATTTACAGAAAATTTTTAACACACATAATATATGGGGTTGTAAATTCGCTTATATTTTATACACGTCTGAGTTACACACTAGAAAATATTAGTGTATAATTTTAGCTAATTCAAGATCGATTTTAAGGATGATTTATTTGTAATTGTTAAACCACTCGCTGATACTTTACTTGTTCTCTAAAGATTCTTTTTTAAATATGTGATTGTTTTATTTTATCTCAGTTCAGAATAGAAAATTCTAAAATAATATTTTAAATTCTTGGTCATGATTTGATCGCGTATTATATAGATAAAATATTGACAAATACCTACGATAAATTGTAAATAAAATTAGATAATTAATAAATAGAAATTAATAAATAGAAACAATTTAAAATTCAATCTTGTAAACAATGACTTATTTTTGTGGAAGTAAACTCCTAAATCCTAAACAAATTTCATTTTAAATGCAATCAGATTTAATCCAAATATTTGTGAAAATAATTTAATTAATTTTTATTAAATATAAAGTATGAAGTAAACACGAAGTTGGCTAGCTAAAATTCAAATTGAATCAAATGATTAGGAATTTGTTGATAAAAAAAAGGAAAAAAAAGAACCTTTTAAAATGGATGCATTCTTATATCACAAATTTCGTTGTTCTACTTTCCTTTTATTAATTAAAATACCGCGCTTTTTATTGTGTAATAGCGTTGTCGGCTCAACCAGTTGTCATGAAATTTTGTATACACTTAGTATTTGGAATGAAGAAGGATATTATAGGCTACTCCCCATGTTCAATCAATCAAAATATTCCGGTCACACCGACGACATCGCGGGTGAATGCTAGTGTATTTCTTACAATAACTTGAGTATAAATAGGGTAGTATATTCTTATTAATAAAAGTGATCCTCGCTCTTTTATTTAAGAAATAAAAGTTACTTTTATTCTTTTTAGAGGAAGTCTATTAAATTAAGTATGTGTTGAAATTTTATATAAAATTTAATGTTGCTCAGTTTCGAACTCACAACCTCTGGCATATTGATACGAGTTGAGATTTCTTAGAATTATATTATAAATAGATTTACAACGCGAAATTGGATCGACGCAAACGTTTTAATATAAACTTCAGCATTTGAAATTTTGTATATTTGAAAAGTTCCCAATATCATGGTAATATTGGCAATATACAGAATGAAATCGAAAATTTCACCATCATTTTAAGGGAATGTTATATCAGCGAAATTTAATAGTATGTTCTGTAAAGTTCATGGTGTTATTTGCGTCTATAGATGACAGTTACCACTTTCCATCAAGTGAGCCGTCTGCTTATTTGTCCCTCAAAGTAACATAAAAAAGTCATTAAAATATATTTTCCAAAGATTTATGGGTCGAAAAATGATAAACACATTTAAACTTTTCATATTAACTTCATAGATAGCTAACACGCGCTACGTTGATATTGACAGTTAATTTTTTTTTTTATGATTTACCCATATTTATTTAAAAATAGAAAAATGCTCAAATTCATAAAGAATACTTACTAAAAAGGAAGCTAACTTCTCCTCTATACTTTTAGATATCCGTACTCTCTTTGATGAAATAAACTGTGCATTTCATATCAATATGCAGATATGTGATCCAATATTACAGACCCTTTTATCGAACGGTTTAAAAATCCACATAACGTTTAACTACCTTTAAAATTGACACGTACAATTTCAAAGCGACACGATTTCACAGAACAGTGACAAGAAAATACATAATCCCAAATCAAACAGTGCCAATAAACAACAAGATTTTCCCGATACGAAATCACATAGAATTTAATGAAAACCCCATTCTGAAAATTACCTCCTTTGTCGGCAACACACTGGATTTATAATCTGTCCTCTCACATCAGTATTTAAATAGCGCCAAACACGATTTTATTTTTCAGTGGCTCCGGGCATGCGCCCAAATATTTCGTGGGTCCGTTTTTCCCCGGTTGTGCCGGTAACGCACACACACATAACTGTAGGTGATCGGTTACAACCACATTTATAATTTTGTGTATTGCGATGGCGCAAAATCACTGACACCACCGTCTAAGGTACACACACAGAGACAAATCAGCGTTGATACACAATGTTCTCCAATAGGGCTGTCGCGCGCACACGCCAACAATTCCAACCCTGGTAATGCTGCGTGCGTTAGTATCGTACTTGGCATCGCCGTCTTCGACCGTACGTATTTGCCGTCACGAATGTTCGTACGAGCTCGTTCAAAATGTGGCGAGATGTGAATTCGTAAGGAATAAATCTGGTAGTTAATATACTCAAGTGCTAGTAAACTTTATGAGACATAATCTGTTGAATATGAAAATTGGTTGTTCCTAAAATAGAATTGTGGAAACTTTAACAATATTCAATTAAGTTTGTAAAGTGAAGTGGATGTATTGTGGTTTTACAGTTGTAAATACGTTTTACAGTTGTAATAAGTGAAATATTGTTGTAATAATATACGAATTGTATTTATAAACAAGAAGTAAATTATTGCAAGGAAAGTTAACAGGTAAGTTATATATATATATAATAGTATAAATTAAATATACAAGTACTATTATTTATATTATTATATGCACATTGCCTATTTAATGCTACATTTTCTTTACTTAAAATATCATGAAAAGATATTGTTATATTTTTTATTTAAATATATTAAATAAAAATTAAAGAAAATATCTGGTTATTTGATATATTTTATTTATACAAACTTGCGTTTTTTTTTTATATCTCTTTTGTAAATACACAATATAAATTATAACAAAAATAAAAATTCGAACCAACTAATTACAAATTTTGTCAGACATAGACTAAAATATAGTCACCACAAATTGATTTATTTACAAAAAAAAAACTTAACATTTTATACCTAAACATGTATACTTAAATAAAACAGTTTCCTTTACTTTATCGATCTTATCGTTTAGCAAAAAATTAAAATACTAACCTTTGGATATGTTATGCATTCATGCTTTTATTATTTTTTCTTTCATTTACTAAGAGTAAAATATTAATTCATTTTCATATTTGATCGCTGTTTCTTTATTATGGTTACTGATCAATCAGTCGATGGAGTTGTATGTTCATCATTTATTTTTTTATTATAGATAGTTTAATTTATTGTGTATATTCATCGAATGTTATACGATATCTTCGTCAGTTTTAAACTGAATTTTATTTTTTTTTAATAATGAGATCTATTCCCGTTTAAGTGTTGAGAATAGAACGGCACATGCTAGGCTGTTGATATTCACTGATGGAATTAACCATGACAGATGATGATTAAGTCAGATCAATATATAATTTTTGGTTTGTTAGTAACGAGGTGTAGAAACCTCATTGCTAGTGATATATTTTATCTGGTTGATCTCCGGTTCGCTCCGATTCCCTTTGAATACCATCGTGATTTTTTCTTGATGAATTGGTTACGACAGACCAGAAGACTTGCTTTCATTTTTACATATATCGACAGCAAGGTTACTATTGCATTGTCGTTCATAAAAAAATACCCCTTCTTACACTACCTACCTACCTACCCCCTTTTTTTGGTTCTATAACAATCAAAGACACTGTTTACTATTTATTCTTTCTTGTTTGTTTTTTATGAGAACTACCTTTTTTGACTGTTTTAAATTATAGTTTCCTCAATTTTCAGCAATGAAAGTCTTTCACCGTCTATCAGAAGATGATTATCATCCTCATCATTCGTTATTGATCTAAGATCTTCTTGCTTTTATTGCAATGCTTTTGCAAGAACATTCTCAAGAACATTTTGTAATTTTTTTTTATACTACTATGGTGATAAACATGTGCATAAACCATCTGATAGTAAACCATTACCGTGGCCTATGGTTGCCTGTAACACAGACATGCATTTCTGTCCTTCAAAAAACTTTCATACATTCTTTTTAAAAAACTTATTTAGTTCTTGATTGTAAAAATTAAGTAATCACAGTGTATCGTAATTAAAATATTACTTTGATAATCCACTGGGTCTATCTATACGAGAGAACGATATTATCCTGCTATTACTATGCTGGTCAAGAGGTTTGGTAGATAGTTCTATTTCGAGTTTTCTTTCATATGTACTGATGTATGTATGTTAGTGTTCTTAGTCGTATCTTAGGACATCTTGATTGTTAAAAATGACGGTAACACATTGTATTTTTAATCCCTCATCACATTTAAAGTTAACTAAATCCGTAACTAGCAAATTCAGTAAAATATGTCTTTTCATAATTGGGCAATATTTTATTATTGCTTTTTTTATTGTTTTAGCAGTTACTATGCTTCAGCAGACATTTAAAAGTTTTTGATTTCTAATTACTTATACACCATCCTAATCACTAATACACGTAACAATAAACATATTGTTATTTATTTATTTTCAATTCTTATATTTTATTATTAATTTATTATTATTGTATTTCTTAATGTAAATTACGCAAACAATATAATTTATTGTAAGTTTCACACTGGAATCCCAAGGTGTAAAGTATATAGGTATGATAATCAGAGTTGAACCAAGTTGTAAGAGTATTAGACAGGCGATGATTCCGTTACTAACTCAATGCTCCACTCAACTTCAGACAGTTTGATTATTCAGATTCCTCAGAGTTATTAGGAGTAATTAATTTAAACGGTCTTATACATTTCTGTTGGGAAACAGTACTGCAGGCATTATTACCTAATAGAATAATTTACAATTTGTAGATTAAGTTTCCTTAATTTACAAATTGTAAATAATTTAAAATTTACAGATTAAGTTTCCTTAATTTACAAATTGTAAATTATTTATTAATTGATACTTTATTACACCAGTTACATAAATAAGAAATATAATAACTTATTAATACAAAATGATATAAAAAGGCAGCCTCATCGCTAAGCAATCTCTAATTATTATAAAGATTTATATTTTTTTATACAATTTAGAATAGCAAACAAGCTGATGGCCCACCTGATGGAAAGTGGTAACCGTCGCTTATAGACATGAGCAGTACGATGGACATAACAGATAATACTGAATATACATATACTGAGTATACAGAGTATTCTTTATTCTTTATTGTACACCAAAGGTGTAAACAAGAAATGTAAAAACAAACATAATAGTGCACAAAGGCGAGTTTATCTCCAATAGAGATTTCTTCCAGCAAACCCAATATGAGAAAACTGACAGTTTATTAGTAGTTACAGTCATACATGTGTACCAATCGACTTAAATGTTATATTTTAAAATAAATAAATAAAATGTCTTTACAATTGAAAAGACGTATAGATAGGTAGAACCATAAAATAATACAATGAATGTATACGTAAAAGACATCGCAAGCAACGGTTATCTCTCAATAATATCTTAATGACAGTGCAAATTTATAAAAACCTTTAAACTCAGGCCATCCCTTTATTATAACTTTCGGATGCCTAAGCTACAGGCATTCAATAAGAATATTAGAGGGAGTCTTTGCACAAAAGGCAGTGTTTGTGTTGGCGAGAAGTTAAGCTTCCTAGGCTGTGTTTCAGTTTGATCGGATCCAATATACTGAAATCACAAAATATAGAAGCATAATACCTTGGCCCTCAGAAATGATAACGCATGATAACCTTCATCATGAGTTCGTAGTACTGATTTTGGTGGCAAACAAGCATATGGCCAGTCTGATGGTAAACTATCTATGGACGCCTGCTACACCGAGGATGTCATATGCACGTTGCCAACCCTGAAGAAAACTTTATGCGTCCTTTTTGAAACCCTCATATATTAATGCTACTTTCTGTCTATTGGATTGTTTATGTAGTTTATTTGCTAATCCAAGTAACATAAACATTCGGAATTCTCTTCTAACTAAATCATCTTGTGTCAAAAGACTAAAAGTAACCTTTATTATAAACTAAACCTTCACTCATGGCTTCACATTATCATCATCATCTCAGCCATTATCTGTTCATTGCTACACATAGGCCTCCCTCATAGACTACCGTATGGAACTCGTTGCCTACTGGATAATAATTACTTTACATGGCTTCTAAAACACGTAGCAAAACAGTAAAACACACATTAATGTTAAGATATTCATCATACAGTTCTGTACAGAATTGAGAATTCAACTTTAATTCAACAAGAGCAACAGAACAAGTTACTTCTTTTGGTGAAATTTCTTTCGTGAAAGTCATATTGTCAATTAATATTCATTCGACTGAAGTTCATAGAAACTTCGAGCGATACACCCATATTATTAGAAATAAATGAAGAACATTAATTGTGTGAATCATCATACTTTTTCGGCTTTTCTGAATATGAACCTAAAGTATACAGTCTATGGCATACATACTTCAAATGTGTTACATATGCTCTTTATAATACGCGAGCCAAAAGTAAGAGAGAAATTTTGGAAATTCTCACGGGAACTGAAAATAACGGATTCCGTGCGAGTAAAGATGCGTAGTTTCCTCCAAGTTCATAATGTAGCTGTAGTAAAATGTAAATAATATATGCTTACATATACTTGTGTAAGTGTTGATCCTACCCATGAGGGTTGGGCTGAAGATGTTGGGATTATGGTCCACTACACTGGTAAGTGCGGATTGGTATATTTATTCGAATCTCGTCCCGAGTATTTACATTAGGTTACGTTACTAAAGATTTATTTGGTATTAACTCGTGTATATTGAATTGTGAATAGTGTATCATGAATGATAAAAAATTGAATCTCATTTTTAATTCGATGATTAATTGATATAATCTTCAGTGATATGTCACGAGATTTTATAATAACATTTATGACACTATAAAATACAGTTCTTTTTAAAGAAATTCTTAATACAACTGCATTTTTTTATTATATTTTTAATCGGCTCAAAAAGAATCTTCTTTTTTTAATTTTAATCTTCTTAAATTCGATTGTATTTTTTATGTTGATTACCTCATAACCTCGCCAGTTGCAAACCGATTTGAAAAATTCTTTTTTATCTGAAACATATACTTAGTTTATTTTATTAAGTTATCACCAATTATTTTAGTTTAAAAACAAAACTAGATAAGTTTTAGTTTAGTTTGGAAACTAAAATAACTGGTTTTACCACAACTGAGGTTGTTTTTTTTTTTTTTTGGTGAAGACAATTTAATTATATTTAAAACAATTTACTTTATTTTACTTCAACGATATTTGAACTGCTTAGTTTTACAGGAATTAGTCTGTTGCAGGCCAGACAAGGCAAAGTTTTAAAATAGGCTACTGTTTACAATATATCGCAAATACAACCCAAAAATCTTCGTTGGTGTATATCTCCCACTGGGAATCTATCTACACATCTTGCCCTTGCCCTGACCGATCTTTTTATAGTAAACTAACAGCTCATCTCATGGGAAATGGTAACAGTGGCTTATGAACCCCTTAAAATATCAGGGGTATCCCGACCCCCGAGCGCACTGGAAGCTTTAAAGAAACAATGACATTTCCTTTTCAAGTACCCGATGCTATAGTGTCTAGTGAAAACTTGCTAAAA